GAAGCAAGGAAACAAGGAAGCAAGGAAGCAAGGAAGCAAGGAAGCAAAGAAGTACGAAAAGGAGAAATCCTGATTAATATAAGCAGGAATCAGGGAAGACGGAAGCAAAAAAAGGACCAAAGCTAAGCAAGCAATGAACGAAGCAATCTGAAGGAACGAAGCAAGCAAGGAACGAAGCAAGCAAGGAACGAAGCAAGCAAGGAACGAAGCAAGCAAGGAACGAAGCAAGCAAGGAACGAAGCAAGCAATAAACTAAAAGGAAGCAAGCAAGGAAGAGAAAAATAAAGAAAAATAAGGAACAATCTAGGATGAAAGAAACTATATATGGGAGAGTTTTAAAACTATAGACAAAAAAACTAAGATAATAAGTTATATTATTTCGCTAGAATTGAATATCTTTTTTACGTTCAACCTTATCAAAGTTTATCTAGGACTTTGCATGAGTGTGTCAACCTTGTTTTCGCTAGGAATATTGACTCTCTTGTTTTCACTTTCAAAACGTATCAAGTTTATCAAACTTGTCTTACAGTTTAACAAGTTTACAGTGTCACGGGGTGGGAGAATTTCTCTTAATACTTTGTAATCACTTTTCACAAAGAAAATAATAAAAATAATAAAAATCCCTCTCAAAAATCTCGAGAAAATAATACATTTATGTAAAATAAAGGTTTCTTTGCTTTTAAAAGGAAAAGTTGTATCAGCTCTTTATGCACTGCCAAATTTTAACACAACTTAAGTCCGCATATGCTTTTCGAGCCGAACCTACTAGAAGTAACTTCCTCAAACTTCCTATTTGCTTGTTGTTATTAGCGGTTGCTTAATGAGTAGTATTGACGTGTTATGCATGACGTCAACATTTTTATTTGTATTAATCAACCAATGACAGCACTCTTTATATCCCGATGTTTTTTATTCATTATTTATTACAGGAAGGATGTAAACATTTGATAAGAAAGAGAAGAGAAATTGTGCAAGGTCCTTGCATTGCTGGTTCAAAAACACCACAACAGGTTTGGAAATATAAATTTTATTTTTTCAAAAAATTAATAAATGAATATAAATACTTACTTATATTAGCTTCTATCGCGCGTATAGTTAGGGTGCGTGCCTAATGCTAATTTAAAGTGCACCGAAACCCTGATACAATACTTTCAGTATTGATTCTACATACCGTAAATCCTCTATTTAGCCCCCCGGGGGGCTTATTTATTTCAGGCACATTTGAAGGGGGGCTTATTGGAGAGAGGGGGCTTAATTGAGAGGGGGGGCTAAGTAGAGGATTTACTGTAATTTTATTTCAGTATTAAATTTCTTCCTTTAAAAAGGGGGGCTTATTGGAGAGGGGGGGCTTATTTGAGAGGGGGGGCTAAGTAGAGGATTTACTGTAATTTTATTTCAGTATTGAATTTATTTACGTAAAAAGAAAGATGGTTGCAGGATCTAGCATGGCATCAACACTGGGCTCAGTTCACTAATAAAGCACAGTTTTTGACTAATCAGCACGCACATACTATCCTAACTACAATCATAATAAAAAAATATAGAAGCTTGTAGAAGAAAC